AAAAAAAAAAAAAATGCCCTAAGCCATCTTCTGGCCTCCAAAAAAAACCTTCCACCCCAAAAAGTCCTGGGGCTTTAGTACTGTTTGTTTGTTTATTATTTATTTTGTGGAACCAGGGATTGAACTTAGACCCTTGCACTTGGCCAGGGAAGTGCTTATTCCACTGAGCCATTTCCCCGGCCCCAATACTGTATGTTTAAATACTACTTCAAGCCTGATGGCAAACACCTGTAACCCCAGCACCTGAGAGGCTGAGGCAGGAGAAACATCATGAGTTGGAGGCTAGCCTGAGCTATGTAGTCAGTTCAAGTCCAGCCTGAACTACAGTAGTATTTTTAGCTACTTATATTTTATAATTAGAAGACCCCTGAGAATTGTATTATAGAAGTCATACTTAACCATAACCTGAAGTTTGTTGATTCTAGTCAGTCAGCCCAAATCTATTGAGATCAAATTAAACTTTCATAAAAGATTGGATGCCTTGATTCCACTTGGTAACTTTAACCTTTCACATCTTTTTCGGGGTGTTGGGTCTTACAGAAGGCAGTTGCATGAGTAAAGTCTGCTCTCTGCTATAAAAGTAGAAACACAAAGAGTTGATTTGAAGCCTTCAGTCAGTATTAAGCACCAGGCACTGCAATGACTACTAACAACAGAAATGTTCTGGGCCAGTGGGATTATGGGATAGAAAAAAAGAAAAGTTGAAAACAGTCAAATTTGTGGTAAGTAATCACTGCAGTAGAACATGCAGCAGGCTTGCTTCCTGCTGAGCTTCTAGGTTCTAAGCCCCTCTGAAGGTGCACTGACACCTTCTTCTCCTGCCCTATTGGCCAGGAGAGGTCTGATAAGTTGTTCTAATGTTGCAAACAGAATTACGAAGTTCATTTTTTTGTATGTAGCACCTGAGGCCTCAGTCGCATGCCACTGTCACACAGCTAATGTCAGTGCCATGGCTGAAACCCTAGTTCCTGTAGGAGGAGGAAATAGTGATGACTAGCCACTAGGACTCTGGTTCTGAGTCTCTCCCCTACTCTCCCGTGAGTCTGTTTTGTAAGTCCCCATTTTTAGAGCTTCTGCAACTACCCTACACTTGACACTTCAGTCTCAATTACCCCAACTATACTGGCCTCTGCTTCAGGTCAGTCTTCCTTCGTCCAGTGCTCACAGAAGTGCGTTAGAACCTTTCAAGTAGTGCTTCAGTGAGAAATTAAAGAGCTGGATGGAGTAATAAGCTGTAGGACCTTATATTCTAAAGTTTTCCCCAGGTTAACTCTGGAGGATGAAAGTGCATATCCCTTTCTTTTCCCCTCTCCAGAGAAAACAACTGATCAGGTCTGGTGCAGCCTCACTGCCTGGTTAAACCAGCTCCCTCTGTGGCAGGCAGTGCTGTCTTCCTGGGCCAGGACATTTCTTCCCTCACAGCTCTGTCTTAGTGCTGTGTCTAAACCACTGCCTGGCGCCATGGTCACAATTTCAAGACTGAGATGAATAGGGCAATGCTGTTCATTTTCAAAGCAAATGACTGGGGAGGGAAGTGACAGAGATGCTTGTCTCCATTCCTATGTAATAGCACATGTGAGTTGGGAATGTGGAGAATTACTGCCAATTTATTAATACTGTGTCCTCAGATATCCTTTGTCACTTGCAGTTGTTTTAAAATTAAGATTCTCTGTGGCTGGGGAGATAGCTCAGTGGTCTAAGCACCTGCCTGGCAAGCACAAGGACCCAAATTCAATCTCCAGAATCGCATGCTGTGCCACCCCAAGACCCCGGGCACGCCATGCAAGCCCCAAAACCAAGTGTGGTGGTGCATTCCTATAATCCCAGTGCTTGGGAGGCTAAGACAGGATGATCACTAAGATTCTGAGCTATGTAGCAAGACCTTGTTTCAAATAAATGAATAAAAGATGTACAGAGTTCAAAGCTAGCCTGAACGATAGAGGGAAACCCTGTCTCAAAAAAAAAAAAGGAGAATTCTTTTTTTTTCACCAAATGTTTGATATTTTATTTTGGAATTTCAGCATGCTTTTATTTTCTTGCCTCTTCATTTTGGGAAGAGGGCAGTTTACATGGTAAGAAACTCCTGAGAACTTAGGACAAAACCAAAAGGTAAAAATACGAATTGGAAGGTCATGCTTGTTTTAAGAACCAGAATGATTACTGAAGGCTAGCTCAATCATTTTAGGAGATTAAAATGTTTTCTTTTTTTTTTTTTTTTTTTT